TCATGACCAAATCAACTTGAGGAGGGAGACTCCATTTGGCTTATGATTCCATATCATGTTTTGTCATTGAAGGAAGTCAGGACAGGAACACAGACAGGGCAGGAATTGGAGGCAAGAATGATGCAGAGCCCATGGAAGAATTCATTGAACACAGAGCTCACTGATTGACTAGATTTGGGGTTCAGCAAGCCCCTGTCTTCAAATGCCAAGGGCTGAGGAAGTAACAAGTTTATTCCACTAATCCTGCCTTCGTTGGGTGGGTGTTGGCGGTTGACACTCAGATCCCTACACTCATACTCGGAGTATGTTACTGACTAAACCATATTTTCAGAATCTTAAAGGGATTATTTATTTCTGTATGTGTCTCATAGAGCGTTTCCAAAGAGATTTTACTATGAAGGACCTACCCCATGATTATGAGTGGTATCCTGCCATTGGTTGGTTTTCAGACTGAATAAAAGGAGTGGAATGAATGCAGTATCAATACACATCCCTGTCTGTCTCTTGTGCTTCCAATGTGACTAGCCACCTCATGATCTTGCCACTATGACTTTCCCACCAAGATGGTCTGTATCCTTTTTTTGGAGTAGACTAAATGAATTCCTTCTAGAAGAGACTCACTCTGAATGTGTGGGGCACCACTCTAAGTGCTGGTTTCTGAACTGAGTAAAGGGTGAGAGCAAACTGAGTTCCAACAATCATCTCTCTGCTTCCTGAGGACAGACACAATGTAGCCATCTGCCTCAAGTAGCTATGCTTTTCCAGCTATGGTGAACTTCATTGTATCTTTGTGAAACCAAATACATTTCCATAAATGAATTTGTCAGATCTTTCATCACAGTAAGGAGAAAAAGAACACATATAACTGTTGTATTTGAATACTGATGTCTTTCATCACAGTAAGGAGAAAAAGAACACATATAACTGTTGTATTTGAATATTGATGAGTTAATGAGTAAAAATAAACAGTAGTTTATTTCTTGTAGCATCACCACTTTTAACAACAGAAAAGACAACTCCCAGGTTGTACCAATAAATTAGGGGGATCAACAAGGGATTCATAGTGGTCTAGCGTGTATGTGTGTGGAGGGGGTAGTGTTCATTATAAAGAATATACGGATGCAGGCAAATGTTTGCATTTCAGTTTGAAGATCCCCACTTCTTCAGTTAGGATGTGGGAATCTTCCTTACCCTTTTATTGCTATGCTGGTACAAGCTGGGAGGCAAGCATGGGCACTTATTAGGTTCCTAAAGCTTTGATTCTTCACTATTTCCTGTAGCACTCACTCATTTGATTCTAATCCTTTAGAATCATCATCTCAGGGTGGCATACTAAACTCAGAAATACACCAGTTTATTAGATGTTCATTTCAAAACAACCACACCATGCTAGTTGACCAAATGTATTCCTAGATTTCTCTTAGGGAATCTGAGCTTTTCCCCATAATTAAAAAAAAAAAAAGAGCCAGTGGCCTCCAACTAGGAAGGCAGCATTGCTCAGCATGTGGGCATTCAAGGAGTCTTAAGAATGAGAAGCCAGCTTATGACTCAAGAGGATTGTTGGTGAAGGCTGAGAGGCTCCTTGCATGAGTGTGGAGGAAATACAATAGGGTTTTCAAGGAAAGAGAAACCTCTGCATCCTGGGAGTCTTAGTAGAGCAGAGTAGTTGCCTGGGCATCTGCTGTCCCAGGGGAGAGTCCCTGGTGGTGGAGGGGTCAGAAGTTTGTACTCTCTCCTTCAGCATCTAAGGCAGAGCTGACACAAAGGTGGTCAGCCTTAGACACTGCCCACAAGTGCCCTGGGTACTGAAAACTAGCCAGGTCAGTATGAGAACATGACTTACAACAAAGGCATGGGCACTGGTTCTTCAACTCCCTGTCCCTCCCTTTCCTGGAATTTCCTCTCTGAATTTCCTGTGATAGATTTGTGCATGTGTGTGTGTGTGTGTGTGTGTGTGTGTGTGTGTGTGTGTGTGTGTATGTGTGTGTGTGTGGTCATGTAGTACACCCTACTTTTTTGATACATGGACTACCTGACTAGGAGCACTCCTGTGACCACTTCCCTGCCTGGGCAAACAAACTAGACAATGGGAACCAAGAGGATACTTGGAGTGGGATTTTAGCACCCAAGGAAAACTTTTTTCCTGTATTCAATTTGTAGTTGAAAATGCAGTGAAATATTCTGTAAAACTATTCGAAATGTTGCCACTATTTCTTTTGAAGACTTTTGGTCAGTTTTTCAAACATGCCACACTTTGGGTCTGTCTAATAACACCCTCTTCCTCTTAAGAATTCCAATATACAACTATCATCTCAAGCAACCCGCCTTTTGTCAAGAAACCCACCCTCTACTCTAAAGGTGACCCTTTTTCCAGTAAGCTGATCTCACAGCTTTCTTTGTCACACTATTTCAACATCTTTTTCTTCTTCACAGTTGGAGAATTTTTTTCTGGTTTCTCTAATCTGTTTCCCTCACTCCCATTCCCACCCCACCCCCCTATTGGCACGACAATAGCACGTGGGTAACAGAACTTCCAATAGGACATTCCACAGGGTCCATCTGCAAGTAGGTGTGTGCCAAAGACTCACCGGCTTAGCAGCATCCATGGGCACAGCTTTCCATATTTCCAGGCTCATAGCTCCTCTTGCTGGCTTGCCTGACTTCAAGAGAAATTGGTTTCCTTTAGGAAGAATAGTGTTCTCTCCACCAATTCGATTCAGATCTCTCTCTCTCTCTCTCTCTCTCTCTCTCTCTCTCTCTCTCTCTCTCTCTCTCTCTGTCTCACGCTCTCTAGCTCTCCCGCCCCCTCCTCTCCTCTCTTCACCTCGCATCCTCTCCTCTCTTCTGTCTCCCTGTCCTCTCTCCTCCTCCTTTTCCCCCTCTCTTCTCTTGTTTGCTCTAATTCCCAATTGCTTCCTTGGCTACATCTGCTAGCCTAGTCTAAATGGGCTCCGTTTACTCACTTTACCCGACCCTTCAAGACTTTCAGTCCTGAAAATGCAGGATCAGAAGCTTGCCTTTGAGTGCCAATTCCTTGTAGACTAGATCCACTCTTTTTTTCCTCACCCCGCGCGCCTCACTCCACGTTTTGCAGCGCCACAGTGAGAACCTGTGGACAAGATCAATGAATACACGCCCACTCGGCAGACACCCACACATACGTGCGGGCGGCTCCATCCTCAGCAGCAGGTGCGTGGCTGTAGTGGTGGTTCTTGACCTTCACTGAGAGGACCCCGGTCTTTGCAGCCTCATGCATGCATTTGCTGCCTGCCTCGCCAACTCTTCCTACCCTCCCTTTCCTCACTACTGTGATCCGCAGCTGGAGCGCAGTCAGAGAGGAAGTGCTGCAGGAGCCCGAGGGTCGCTCACTCACTGGAGCTGCACCGCCGAGGTCCGGCTTGCACCGCTGTGCTCACAACAGGCGGGGTCAGCAGAGGCGTGGAAGGCAATGCGAGATCCCGGAGCTTCTGGGCAGAGGTGGAAGGAGGTGCTGTTCTGTCAGGGGAGGGAGGACTGCCCAATGCTGCGAGCTCAGCCCCCCACCCCATCTCATAGAGCTGCCTCGTTTTTACTGTGATTTCACATTCATCTATTCGCATTTTTACAAACTGGGGTTCTTCCTGATGTTTTTCCAGCAACTCCGTTCTCCTCTGAGTTTGACAAGCAGCGCGCACATTTGTGTGTATTGGGGTGGGGTGATCCGTGTTTGTTTTGAGTATTTTTTCCTTCCGAGAAAGATACACTTCAACCGGCTGCGTCTTTTAAGGAGCAGTTTGGTGGGATTCCCGGAAGGATCTTCTCCAGTGATTAATCGTGAAACTTTTTCCGTTTTCCTTTTCTTTCCAGTGACACGACCTCCGATCTTAGACAAGAGGCTAAAAGGTGTAGGCTTCACCCTCTAGAAGAGGGGACCAGAATGCTCCAGTTGGAGGTACGGGAGACAGTCATTCAAATCTTTAAAAAGTGAAAAACCAAACTTGAAGGGGCATTTTCGCATGATGGCCCCTCCCCCTTCTACGCCTTTCGTCCTCCACTGAGATGCAGTGGGGAATTTGCAAAAGCTCCTCTGGACCCTTCTACCAGACCTGGCTGAGGGAAGGAGCCCAGATTGGCCCTCTCCCCCTTCCCCTCCCCCACGAACCAAGCCGCTGTGATGTCCTTGCTGTCGCCGCCGCCCCATTGCGCCGCGCACCAGCCCTGGGGGCATTGGCCGTGCTCAGCTGCCCAGTCTAGCTCAGGCTTTGGGCTTCCTGGAGGGTCATGCAACCCAGAGCTGTGACTAAGGCGCTCACTTGGTAACTCTGCCATATTCCGGATCTTCCTCTCCCTCCCTTCCCCTCCCCTTTAACCACCCCCGTGTTCCCCTCCACCACCCTTGAGCCCTCCCCCGGCCCCAGACGCCCACCCTTAGATTCCTTTTCCTGCAAGATCGCAGAGGTGGCGCGCAGCCCGCCGAGCCCATGACGGACCCCTGCCTCCTGCCTTCAATGCCTCAGCAGAAGACCCCCAAAGGCTGGAGAGAGAAGAGCTGCGGCTGGACATCCTCCCGGCGACGCTGCTCGGACCTGGTGCTCCTGGTGGATGAGACTGGCGACTGAGCAAGCCCCTGCCGCCGCCTTCGCTGTCGCCCGCCCAGTTGTTGCCGTCGGTCCGGACCAGTCCCTGCCTTGCGCCTTCTGCCGCCCGGTCCAGATCGGGTCCAGGCTTTGGGCGCCCCGGGGCTCGCCCCGCGCCTGCCGCCGCCTGCGCGACGACTGCCCGCCGCGTCCTCCTGACAGCTGCGGCGGCGGCGATGATGCAGAGGAGGAGGGTGCTGCCGGCGGCAATGCTCATGGTGGCGGTCGGCGCCCGGGTGTGATGAGAGCGTCATGGTGGAGATGCTGGCTTCGAGGTGGTGAGAGAGCAAAGGAGGGCGAGAGCCAGCCCAGGGCGGAAGATAGAACAGTTCCGATTGCGATCGCTTTCTTCCCTCTCTCGCTTCCCTCCCACTGTATTTTGCCCGTGGTTTGCATATTTAAAATCTCTGGACTCCATCCTCGCTCTACCAACGAAGTCTCTCCGTTTCTAAATGGAATTAGTGGAGATCGGAGCCTCTGGTGTAACGCACAGACATGATCTATGGACGCAGTTTGTTTCACAGTGAGTACCTCTCCAGCAGTGCCAATCCGTTCCCGAGGTGCTGCCACCTCGCCTCTTGGCCCCATGCGCTGGGGAAAGCCCTGGCAAGCACTCCACCCAGACCCCGCAGTCCCTTGGAGTCTGGGGCAGATGTAAACTTTCGGTACTGCAGCATCATACAGCCTGGCGGGGGCGGCGCACAGAGTGGCGCTGGACCTCAGAGTTGGTCAGGGAAAACCGTCTCTCCGTAGGCAGGCTCTCTGGGTGGTCCAGAGGAGCATGTTAAAAAGTAGACACGTGCAGTAGGTGCTGGGCCCCAGAGAGGACGCAGGTGGCCACAGAGCGGGAGTAGGATTGATCCTTGCTGGGCTAGAAGGAATAATCCTCCTTTGTGGGGTTCAGGGGTTGATGGGCCCACCTTCTATTTCCCAGGTAAACTAGAGCACATCTGAACCCAAGGCTTCGGGTAGAATACATCCCAGTCTCTTGCTCTAAAGCTCTGATTCTGCTTGCAAGTATGATAAAGCCCGGGGGCTGAGGCGGAGACTACTGGAGGCAAACAGGTTCAGAAGTCATCAAAGGCAATGTCAGAAAATGTTTGGTGGGAATGTCATGTTATGAAGCAAGGGCTGGTGGGCTAAATCTGTGCCACTTTGTTAAGAGATCTTTCTTAATCCACGAATTCAGCACTGCACAGGTTCTGTGTGTGATTCCATCAAAATAGGAAAAGCAGAGTGAGGCCAGGTATACACACCGATGTGCTTGGAGCTTCTTCATGCTTGTAGCAGCAGAGGGAGTTAAAGAATTACAGCAAGTTAAGAAAGACCTACACACACACACACACACACACACACACACACACACATACACACATACACACACACACACACACCACAGGAACAATCTTTGAATTTTTGGTTGTTTGCTTGCTTTTTTTGTTTTTTAGAGAGGGTTTCACTATGTAGCCTTGGCTGTCCTGGAACTCACTCTGTAGACCACACTGGCCTCGAACTCACAGAGATCTGCCTGCATCTGCCTCCTGAGTGAGTGGGGGCATTAAAGGCATCCGCCATCACAGTCCTGCCCAATCTTTGCCCTGTCCAAATTATAAAGTATTGCAGTTGATAATTACCCAATCCTTAATGTCAAGGCTCAGATAATTTTTCTCAGAATAATGATATGCCTTAGGTAAGAGGATTGATTGGTGCCCCCCACTCCCTCTCCCTAAATTAGTTTCAGCTGGAAATGCGCAAAGGAAGAGATTTTATGTAATTGGTCATAATAACTAATAAAAATGAAACAGGAGAAATGTCGGTTATTATCAAGACCAGATTATTTTTGTAACTCTTTTCTAGTTTCAGGTTTCTCTAGACATTTTTGAGCGGAGGAAGAGGTAAACAGAAGTTTAGATCCTTGTAGGAGGGCAGACTTATTGCTCAGTGCAGACCAGTCTCTGACTCTGAACTGACTCTATAGATACCTCAAGAAACCCCCTTTTCAAAACTGTTGTCTGCTTCTGGATGGTAGTCAACTCAGAATCATAGTTCACGATAGAAATGATGAATTTTTTAGCTGGAGAATGTCACAAACAGGACTAGTTGGTAGTTTGTTTGTTTTTTCCTTTTCCTACGAACAAACATACAAAAGCTAAACTAACAAAACAAACAATCCCTTTCTGTAGCTCTGTTTCAATGCCAGGACCAATTCACTTTGATCTTTTTCTCGAACTCCCACCCAGCCTCTTGTCATAGGCTTTTCAGAAATGTTTATGTCCTTATGTCCTACAACCCAAGCTTATTCGCAATAGTTAGGGTGGGTCATGGAGATTTGGCTCTTTGCTTTTCCCTTCTTCCTTCTACTGTGGCCCTCGTTTTCCTCTAAAGACCCAGAAAAAGCTCTTATCATAGGGTCCTTTACTGCAGCAAGACCTGGGACCTCCTAGCAGTCTGTGTAACATTTGCAGAATAGCATTTTTCACAGCTTTGAAGAGTTTGGATCTCATTCATTCTAAACAGGAATATTTCCTTATGGGAGTTCCACATTTTACTTAAAACATTTTGAATTAGATTTCCAAAGTTCTGAGTCACCTCTGTAAGGATTAACAATGATAAAATTATTTTACTTTGGTATCACCTTATTTGCAAATTGTCATATGGTTTTACAAGGTTTGGTCATTTTTGGTGTGAATATTACATTTCTGATTGTTCTTTCTCTGTTACAGTTATAGCAAGTTTAATCATCCTCCATTCTTCTGGAGCAACCAAGAAAGGAACAGGTGTGCTGCTTTGTATTTTTTTTAAAATTCTAATGGAGACTTCTGTGTTCTCCAATTTCACCATACCCATTCCAGAATATCTGGATATCACATAGAGTGTATAATTGACTGTCTTTGGCTAAAAGGCTATCTTGAAATTAATTTACTAATGGATATTATGAGAATGTCCTCTCTATTTTTGGTGTTATAAAACATTGGATGACAGACCTTTTTAAAAATTTTGTTTTGTTTTATAGAAAAACAAATCACCTCAGAAACACAGAAGTCAGTGCAGTGTGGAACTTGGACAAAGCATGCAGAGGGAGGTGTCTTTACCTCTCCCAACTATCCCAGCAAGTACCCTCCCGACCGAGAGTGTGTCTACATCATAGAAGGTAAGAACAGGGAGATTGCCAAGCTAGGGAGACAAGCCAAAGCCTGGCCTTCTCTAGGCCCTGCATGTGTGATGTGAACAGAGATATTACAAAACTGATTTTGGAGAAATTAGCACAAGTATTACTGAGAAAATAACTATAAGACTAGAATCAGGCTAATTTCTGAAATTATTAGAAATGGGTTATGAACACACAAATATATGTAAATGAAACAAGAACACAACCTAAAAGCTCTTTTCCAGCAATCCAAACTATAATTACTATGTACTTGACAATGTCAATTTGTGGCACTTAGGAAACTAATATTTTACTGGTTTAATAATTATAATAACTGACATGTTTGTCAGTGTTTTCTTCAATGTTATCAAGTAACAGCGAATCACATGAATGGTAAAGGTGTACAGGTGTACTTGCAATCATGTTTCCTAAACTTTCATTTGAATGGTATTTAGCTTTTTGTGTATTTGCAAATGAGGCGATCATATTTTCAGGTCAGTCAAGGTTCTAACATGAAGCTGTCATCCATTTTGCCAACCTGAAGGACAAATAGTACTTTAAAAAAGACTCACACTTCTGAATATTTTCCATTTCTTTTAACCTTGAGCCATCTCTCTGTTAAATATAAAGAGAGATTTTAAAATGTGTAAACATGTCTCCCAGTGATGAAAGCAAAATTTTAACTATTAGTTCCAAATAACGTAGAACTTGTCTATACCATGTACAACTACAGACTAAGTTATGGAAACAATAATCTGTGACTACATATTGACTACTCATAAACTAGAGTTGCATTCACAATGTACATACGTCAAGAAAGAAAGAAAGAAAGAAAGAAAGAAAGAAAGAAAGAAGGAAAGAAGAAAGACAACATCAAAAGAACCATCTAGCTCCTATTTCTCTGATTTGAGGGGCCATGTTTAGAAAAATTTCAGTCCTATTTTCATCCATAAGTCAAGAATCTTTCTTATCCTTTTGCACTGTATAAATGTAGGGATTTTTTAAATAGAAAATAACCCAAACTATGTAAGTTTTCATGTTTAAAGGATAAAGCAAACCAACTTAAACACGTATCTGGCAGCTTGGACCTCTAGAAGATGGAAACATTGACTTTCTTGTTTGAAATCAGCTGTTATATTCTAATCAAGACAGTATTAGACATTTAATAGTTATATGTGTTAAAAATGTATTATAAACTTTTCAAGAACTCACTATATACCAAAACATTTACTTATAGGTAGGTGCTTTCATTTTATTAATTAGGAAAAGGAGGCATATAGAAATTAAACATCTTGCTAAACTCAAAATACCCATATTTGAGAGAACAAAGCAGAATGTGTTGCCTGTGAGTTCTGCTTCTAGTATATTATTTTGGCATCTTTACATGTACTGCTAGTCTTGAATGTGATCGTTTCCATATAATCTTTTTTAGTTTTGTATTTTTATTAAGGACAAAATAAATAGAGAGGATGAACAGAAATTCCCTTTACTATTAGTATGTTTTTAATTTGAAGCCATCTACAAACACTTCACATATTCAAATGATGTTATAGTGACTTTTTATGGATTTGCTATCAATCTATCAATTGTTGCACAGAACTTACAAGATACTAGCCTTATGGTACTGTTAATGTGACTGGAGGTGTTTGAGTCGATCCGGAGCTTTGAGGTTTACATAGAATTGCTGGGGCAGGAAGAAGAAGAAGAAGGAGAAGGAGAAGGAGGAGGAGGAGGAGGAGGAGGAGGAGAAGAAGAAGGAGAAGAAGAAGAAGGAGAAGGAGAAGAAGAAGAAGAAGAAGAAGAAGAAGAAGAAGAAGAAGAAGAAGAAGAAGAAGAAGAGAACTGCTATGATGTTTTCCTACGTGATTTATGTGTACTTTGGTGGTAGTCCTCATTTTTTACAGAACACCTTGTACTAGAGTGCAGAGAAGTGGTAAGCTGGGATACTGGCCTACTACACAGTTCAAAAGAGGAATAGGTAGGAGGGAGATGATCCTAAAATGGAGATCTGTATTCAAGGAGCCAAATCTATCAAAATTCATAAGGTCACTGTAGGCAATGGAATATCACTGAAAGAACTCAGAGAACTATTGAGGTGAGACTTCAGTAGGAAAGTAACGGAAGGAAAAGAATGCCAACTAAAGAGCGATCGGGGATGGCCAAGTAAAACAGAGAAAACCTGAACTAAAGATATTGGCAGTGGCGACAGACAAAAGGGAGGGAATGAGGTGTCTTTAGGATACTGAAACTAAAGTGACTGGGTGGGAGATGATAAAATGGGGTTTATAGAATGCTGATGTGGTCAGTGTTGTCCGCTAGAGAGAATAAATGTGTGGGATTTTAGTTTAATGGAGAGATCTATTCTGGTTCTTCATATGTATAGTACATAAATATAGAAATTGCTAGGGAGGGCTTCATATGAATAAAATTATCAGGAGGCATTCAGAGCACTAATATTTCAACTTACTAAAACATGGATGTCTGGACTTTCCCTAGAATGCTGATTTCTTTGGAAGTAGAATCTCAGGCACTATCTGATTTTAAAATAATCTCACTGTGTTTCAGAAACACCCAGTGCACTGGAGTGACATGAATAAAGAGAGGCTGGGGGATATTTCTGGGACATAACATGTTGGGAATGGACAGGACAGGGAGACCTGAAGGGCTCTCAGAAGGACCTGCAGATGAGCAGAGCAATCAGTAGAGATGTCATGGATCTGGGCTGATGTGGATGAGATACAAGAACCAGTCAGTCTCCAAGTGTTACAAGAAAAAAAATGAGGCAAACACACATATGTGTTTCTAGTATGAAGAAATTAAGAGTCTTCTTGTGACTTTGGATGAGTGCAGTGATTAACACAGTGAGGGAGAGAAACACCTCCCAGTCAGCAGAAGATTAAGGGAAGAGAGTACTTGGGTGAGGGGAGTTGGAAAGGCACAGTAAACAGGAGATTTTTAAAAAGAGGATAATTGTTCATATTTATCTCTAGAAGAAGTCATTTGATCAGTAGAAAACAGGTAAATTTAAAATTGCAAAGAAAAGGATCATTTTATTATTGCTAACACAATGTAGAATGCCTAAGAAGGTATTCTTAATGAAGGATTGCCTAGATGAGGTGAGTTTGTGGATATACCTGTGAATGGGAAGACCCATTCTGAGAGTGGAGGGCACTGTTTCCTAGCCTGACTCTACTGTAAAAAGAAATAGCCATTAGTTAATTGCTCTCTGCTCCTGTGGCTATAATGTCACTAGTTGATTCAGGTTCTTGTTGCCTTAATATTCTCCCACAATGAAAGAATTGTGAGTTAAATAAACATTTTCTCATTCTGGCTGCTTTCACCATACTATTTTTTTAATAGCAACAAGAAACAAAACTAAGAGGAATAAATACATGGCCTAGTTGCTTAAGATAAGACAAGTTGTGCTTAAAAAATCAGGAAGCTCTCAGTCATGAAATGCAATATCCTTTTATGAATTTCAGATGGTATCAGCCAGCACTCCTTTTGATAAAAGAGGTACACTGCATGTATATCAAGCGAGTGTGCATGGGTACCATATCCCAAGAGGCTGAGGGATATGGAAATCTGAAGGAACTTTAGTTTCAGTTGAATGTCAGCTAGGATGACTAGAATTAAGGAATCTGTGACGTTAACAAGTTGACAATTAAGAAAAAGTGAGTCTATGGAATTTGCTGGCATATTAGTTTACTTATACCACAACCACCCATTTGTGCATCAACAATAACAACTCTGGGTAGCATGTTCAGTTTTTAATGCTATTTTGTATTTTCTAAAATTTAGATTGTAGGACTTTGTAACATGAGCTTATGGGTAGTTAATTTAAGCATTCTGGGTGAAAGGAAAATCAACTGTACATACATAACATGATTCTCTGGAAGCATCATGATAGCATGCTGTTAGAGAAGACTGGAGTGTTTCATTTGTACATGTTGGATAAAGTGTAGGTCATAGAAAAGTGAAGAAGAGAATAAGTGTATTTTTAACACATGATGGCTGTATTTTTCCTGGTAGAGGATACAGGTGGATGTATGTTGACAGATGGCACATCGAATGCTAAATAAGTTTGCTGAAGACAGTACTCTTGGCTTGCTTTTCCTTAGTCATATATTTGTAGCTAAAAGAAAGCCTGGAGCCTGGAGCCTGGAGGTGTTGCATACCTTTAATCACAGCACTCCAGAGGCAGAGGTAGTGAGTTCGAGGGCAGCCTGGTCTGTAAAGTGAGCAAGTTCTAGGACAACCCAGATGTTACACAGAAAAACCCTGTCTTGAAAAAAGTGATGCCTAATATGATGAAGTAGTTTATTTTCTCTTAAAATCTACCTGTAGCTTATCAAAGAGCAGATGGACATGAAGGCTTATAGCATAGAGTACAGTGTAGAAAGAACTCAGGTAATACACTTAATGCTATGTTTATAACAGATCCCTTCTCTTAAATATTTAGTTTATGTTTGGAGAGTAATATGCTGGGTAGGAAACACGACTTCACAGATAGTTTTAAATGGTGGTTTCAAGTTTGAAACTTTTAAGCATTTAATGGAAATTCTCTCAACTCTGCCACAGCTCCTCTGGCTGTTCACTTTGGTAATATATACCAATGTCAGATAAAAAATGTCGCCTGAGTTATAAACTTCTCTTTAGAGACGGTAGTGAGTTGGGAATGTTTATACAGATTAAAACTATTTTGGAGAATAATCTTAAAACATAAGCTGATCTGTGCTTTTGATTTTAAATTTTAGAACTGGAGGGCAATAAGTTTATATTTTATTACAATTCTCCCGTTTTTAAGTAATCACATATCTCAGTTTTATATAAATCTTGACATACATGTCTGCACAAGTTTAATTTTTAGGTCATCAGTGGTGGTGATCAATATGCCTTTAAGAAACAGTGGAGCTGGCTGGGTGGTGGTGGTGCACTCCCAGCACTAGGAGGCAGAGGCAGGCGGATCTCTGTGAGTTCGAGGCCGGGCTTGACCGACAGCCCCCAAAACAATACAGAGAAACCCTGTCTCGTAAAAAACCAAAAAAAAAAAAAAAAAAAAAAAAAGAAAAAGAAACAGTGGAGCAGGGTAGGAGGCAGTCAGAATGGTTGTTGATCACATAGGCAGCAAGTTTTGCTGTGCCCAAGATTTGGAAGGCTTATTCCATGCAGAAATCCAGGTAGCAAGGAAGCTCTTCTAAGAGGCTTCAAGGAAGCAGTTGTTCCAGGCCTGAATACATAGCTACTGATATTTCAAGCAATGCTATACCAATTATAGAGTATCCTGGCTGAGTGTAACAGTAGGAATTGCTGTTACTACTGTTTTGGTCATGAAAGGAACAGTGTGAAGGAATATTAAAATATGTACTACTGTGGTGACTGATATGGTTGCTAGGCTCATCAGATTCTTCTGTTTTCCAGAGAGCTATAGAAATATTTATGAAGGTTAACTAATTTTTATTTATTCAACATAATGTTGAAAAACTACACAATGACATATATTGTGTTTAAGTACTAGGAAAAAAAAGTAAAGCAAGTCCCTGTCTTTAATGAAGAGACTAAGGGGAGAATTTCCTCTGAACAAGAGGAAATTGTATAGGAGAGCTGGAGATGTGAGTTAGCTGTGGAGCATCCCCTTATCATGTTTGAGGCCCTAGGTTCAACCACCTGCACAGAAAAACTAGACGAAGCAAAAGCAAACAATAGAAAACAAGCAAATGAAACCCTCCCTCCATAAAGAGGGGTTAAACTTTGGTGGTCTAGACAGGAAAAAGAGGGAGCAAAACAAATGTACTCCAGCTGCAGGGCATGATGGGTTAGAAATCAAGATGTGCTCCAAGTACCTTGAGTTTTGGAGATCTGAGGTGATAAGATCACACAAGTGGGACTTTCTCAAGGCCCTTATCTGTCAAGTGCATTGGTCTGTAGTTCAGCTGGTGAGACTACCACTGAAGTTCAAGTGGAGAATGATGAGATCACATTTGATTTCTGGGGTCATTACCCTTAATACCTTGTAAATGCACTTGGATCTAATCAAGACACCTGGTTGCAGCTACTTGAATGGTTACATAACTGCCTGGGGAATAATCCCTGAGTGTTTCTGGCATTAAACCTAAACACTGGAGGTTATAAGAACAGACATAACTACACCCCTTCACCTTCTAACATGAGTTAACAGCATTGCTAACGTGGTGTTGGTTCCATGTTAGGTGTTTCATGTTAAAATAGTGTTTTGTGCACTGTCATCAATTTTAAAGGCCAACTTTTATGTGTTCTCTAGTGAAAATATCTCTAGAATGCTAAGCATCTACTTTCTTTGTACATCCATATAACTCTTCTACAGAGTTCTATTGAATAATATACAAATAAAATCTCCTGTAAAATCTGTTAATAAGCCTCAAGATTTAAGAAACTGCTTTCTACATATTATCTTACTTTTGTTTTCCACAGCTGCCCCAAGGCAGTGCATTGAACTCTACTTTGATGAAAAATACTCGATTGAACCATCTTGGGAGTGCAAATTTGATCACATTGAAGTACGAGATGGGCCTTTTGGCTTTTCTCCAATAATTGGGAGGTTCTGTGGACAGCAGAATCCACCTGTAATAAAATCTAGTGGAAGATTTTTGTGGATTAAATTTTTTGCTGATGGCGAGCTGGAGTCGATGGGATTTTCAGCTCGATATAATTTCACACCTGGTAAGTAGAAGCTTGTCTTCAAAACCTTTTTCTTAACTCTCCCCTTTTACTTTTCTTTTTTCACAGTAAAAATCTTTTGTAAGATGTTAGTATTTTTCAGTGAAATTTCAACTTATGTTTAGAAAAAATCCTATAACCAACTTTGTCTATGCTTCCCAAATTCTGAAAAAAAGAAACTTGAATATTAGCTACCATAAAGTAGGCAAAAAATGGGTGAGCACTCTGTGTGGTCATCAGGAACACAACGAATTGAATTGATTTCCATTACATTGGCATGTGTTATTTGACAATGTGTAATATGGGGATTGATTGTAGGTAGGATCTCACTAAACTTGAAAAGACAATTGTAATACTATAAGGATGTTCACTAAAGTAATGTTAAAGAACTTGAGAGTACATTTGTTCTGAAAATGATTATTTATAAGAGAAATGTATCCTTATGTAAAGTAACCAAATTTCTTTTCAAAAATAGAAATCTTTCAGAGGTTTAAGGAAATGAAAATTGAGGTCTGTGGGAGTTAGTAGCTCATTCTAAGGTCTAGCTGGAAATAAAAGTAATCATAAAATTACTCAGCTTATGTCAATTTTCAACAAATATTCAAAGAGTTCAGTGATACTGATGGGCTCAATTTATGAAACTTCATCTTTCATTACTACCAAAATATATTATCATATTTTTCTATCTGTAAGTCATTCCATATTCATCAATTGATATCTGATTAACTGAAGCCAGGTTTTTCTAGTTAAAGAAAGTCATTCAAATTATGAGCAACAAATGACGTTGCATGTGATGTTTTGCTTTGGTTATAATAGGCAACAGGAAGCACAGAATATAGGGAAAATCTTTGAAGCTAATATTTCATGTAATAGACGCAGATGACTGAAGGATGCTAAGTGGCAGAGTGTTTGCTTAGTCTGAGAGAGGCCCTGGCCTTAATCCCCATTACTACAAAAGAAAATAATTGCACAGAAGGAGACTGCATATAAATAGGGCTTTGTTGAACAAAAAGTTCACAACTTTGAACATAATTGACATATGATTTAGGGTTCGTTACATTATGACATACAGAGTTTGTTAAATAATTCAGATATCAAATGTGACATGTGGATTAATGTTAGGCATTATAATAGTTCCTGATAATACTATGTGATTGTGATTATTGATCACTTTTTATTGACTTGGAACTGCACATAGAAGCCATGGTTATTTCATGTCCTACAATAAATCTAATTTGGCATGTTTCAAAAAGGAATTAACATGTATGCTCTTTTATCTAGCACATTATTTGTTCTGTATTTTTAAATGTGCACTTTTGGGTAACTGACGATTTTGAATATAACTTGTAACCAAAGATGCTTACACGATGAATGGTTTTACAAGGATATTTGCACTATGAGTTTGTTGATTGTGAACATAATGTCTAGGGTTTGAAAGTATCCTGTACTAAAGATTGTCACAACAGTCAGAACCTTTTCTCAATATGACAATGTCCTTCACACTATGTGCTTCTTTTGGCATAAGTGTAGCACCTGTCCATTATCCCAGGGTTTCAGAAGTCATAGTAAGACCTAAGTGTTAGTTATTTCTGTGGGTGTGATACATTACTTTTATCATCAGGGGTAACTCAATCAGAAGGAGCCCCAGAAGAAAAACCTCAGAAAGATATACGGAGTTAACAATGGACTCAGGTATCTGGATAGACGAGGGTAAATGCAAAAGAGAATCTCCTATTGGCATAGGACAGACAGTAGGACCATAAGAAGCAGACCTGCAACATTTTTACGATGCCAGAAGCTATAACAGCAAAGGTCTTGTCACTGTTCAAAGCAGTCAGCAGCAGAATGTATGGCTGAGGAAGCAAGGTCAGTGAGGGAGTAGACGGAGGGCGGAGCTTCGTGACTGCTCAGCTTTTCAATCCTGAGCCGGTCTGCCTTCCTTGTCACTTGGTTTTAAATTTTATTTTATAGTTTGACTTACGTACTGCACTGGGGAAACTGAGGAAGGAAGAGTTCCTCTGTTTGATTCCATGTTTCTAAGTATAAAGCTGTGTATAAAACATCTTGTCACCAAAGTAGAAGCAGAGTGGAGTAGAAGGGCCAACTCGCCAGCTCTAGGAATGGAAGCTGGGTCAGCACAGGGGACACTGACTTTAGGGCCAGGCAAGGTCTCCAGGTATGGTTTTATGTTTTCTTTTTCATCCTATTAACCTTAGATATAACCAACATTATTTTTTTATCTTTTACAACATTATTTTGTAAAAAATAAAGATAATATTTTTCAGAATGGTTTAAGTCAACCAGCATATAATTATGAATTCGAAGTTTTTGAATGTTTGAAAGATCTCAATTGTTTCAAAGCTAGTAAAATTGCATCAGCTCTGGCCTTGAGAGATGGCTTAGTGGTTAAGAGCACCGGCTGCTCTTCCAGAGGTTCTGGGTTCAATTCACAGCACCCACATGTCATCTTACAACTGTCTATACAGCTCCAATTCCAGGGTATCTGGTGCCCTATTACAGACATATATGCAGGTAACACACAATTTCATTAAAGTAAATAAAATCATTAAAATGAATCAGATCATATGTTCCTTATAAATAGGAATATTTTGATGTTATTGGGAAAATAAGTGCCCTAGACAATTTCAAAAGTGTACACTCTGTGTCTGCTTTTTGTGGTCTTTGTATGTGCACTAAAACTATGAAAAAGTAGTCCCTATGCCACATCACTTTTTGTGAGATTATTTATTTGGACCAAGGCTTCTATAGGAGGACTTATAATATATGATGCTAGTCACAAAATATATCCAGGAAGAAATATTTTCAGGAAACTCAGATGACTTATCCTAAGTACCACAATCTAAAAATCTGAATTTTAACATTGAAGTCTGAAAAACTTGATTTCCATGCACTAAAGTGAGTGGATATTTATTTCCTAGGGTGAATCACATTTATCAAGCTAACAAAATTGACACACATATACATGTACATTTCTATGCACATATCTGTCTATACAGTAAGTCATATGTGTTTATCCATAGACATAGCACATCAATACGTATACAGATGGGTACATATTAGTATCACAGAGTGCAATGTTTCCTTTGTCAGCCATTCCTGCATATCCAGATTACCGTCAGGGGATTGCATGCATGGGGAATCTTTGAAACTGAGTTCCATAACTGATATATTTAATGACACTCAGCTAGAACTTGGCCTTTTATTACTAAAATGTGGATCAAGTTTTCCAGTGCTGCTTCAGAATTCAAACTCCCATTGGCTCATTCTCTTATCATCTCCTTTCTTTCTGGCTTCCTGCTTCCATTTTCCCCTTACTAGCTTGCTACTTTGTGTCTTCACTCAGCTCCAAAATTGTTTGTTTCCTAAGATCTGAGTGTTTGGCATTTGTAATCACTTCAAAGAATAAAATAAATAGTCCTTTCATCTACAGCTCCTGCTGGCCCTAGTGTCTAGGCTTTTGAATTCACAGTGATGTCTGAAAATCAGTCAACCAGAACTCATGCATGGAGAAGGAGGATAGGAAGACAGCCTACAAAAATACCAGGGAAATGGTGTTGAGGAAGGTGTTCTGTTTTTCCTACCCATTTTAATGGTTCTTTACTTTTAGTTCACTGATGGTTATTTTTGGTTCCTGTGTCGTCACTTAGGTCTTGAGTACGGGGATGAATCACCTGGGACAGTAGACTAGAATTACTTTCAGAATGGGAAATAATCAACTAGTTCAATTTCTAGGGTTCACAAAGGACAGAATGAAGCTTAAAGAAGGAAGGGCCAGTGGGCCCATGTTTCTGAATACTTCAGAAAGGATTATTAACACAGGAAGATTTCCCTTGCATCCTATGTGGTGAGTGGACAGCAGCCATGTAGTGCCTGTGTTCCAATAACAGAGCTAAGTGGTCCTGGCTGGGTGTGGTGGCACATACAAATAATCCCAGCACTAAGGAAGCAGAAGCAAATAGGTATCTGTGAGTTCAAGACCAGCCTGGCTTATATAGCAAGTTCTAGGCCCTTCAGGGATACACAGAGAAACGCTGTCTCAACAAAAGAAAATTGGAACCAGAGCTAAGTACTAACATATGAAAAATATTTAGTGAATTCAACGAGAAATCATATTAAACATATAAACATGTGTACTTTCAGAGAACTGTATTATTTTCTCATTTAACAAGTTGTGTCATTCACACTATTTAAACTGAGCAGTACAGAAACCCAAACACCTAGTAAGCCTTGACTAAAACTGTGACAATATACATCAAATTCATAAGAATGGGTACCCCGAGGCATGGAATGGCAGACAAAGGAGTGTTCTTAGAGCCAGACAGAACCAGAATAAAAATTGACATAGTTTTATCAGTAAACTTAAAGATCCTTCTAAAATGTTTTTTTAATTTTTGGTATTATTTGTGTAAACAAACCATTTAAAATAAAAATATAAAAAGAAACTATGGCAAATAGTTTTAACCGGAGAACATTGTCTCTCCTACATTTTTGTAAATTCAACCTAAGGAAAGCATTTTGAGCAGGAAGTAACAGTTCCCCAGCTGCCTTCTTGGAGTGGTTTTCTTCTTCACTAGAAACTTTAACTTAAACAGTGAAACCATAGCTATATGTTTGGAACTCTAAGATCAGTGGCACCACCCAGGGACTCTTTAATCCATCAGAGTGTAGGAAAACATCCAGGAGGTTGTACTTCCAGAGAAGGCAATCTTTGCTTCCTTCAATGACACTCAGATTTTGCTAATCTTCTATTTTACTTTCTAATGAATAAAGGTGGTATTTTTTCCTGTTATTTTCTGACCAAGAAGGGTAAACATACAGAATCTTCCACTTTTGATGATTTTTTTCTGTACTATTCCCTTGAGAAGTTACACACATCCTACTAAAGCAGCCTAGCTGAAGGACTGTACCTCACTGTCACAGAGGCGAGTTTGAGGTAGGCACTCCCATTGAAGTGAGTGGAGTTTTAAATACTTGGGATGATT